TGTTTGGAATCGCTTGGCATTTCTGAACAAACACAAAATACTCTGGTGAGGTGTCGTTGATAATTTCTGTGGATATTCATCGGGAGTTAACTTAGTGTGTCAGAACTTGAATATTTTCTAACTCGTCGACACTGTATGCTAGACAGTCCCTTCTACTTTTATCCTAAGGCAATTAATATTTATAATCGCTTGAGATTTCTAAACAAATATCTTATGTTCTTAGAGGAATTAAACGAGCTATTTCGAGAAAACTGGTCAAAATTTCTGACTGCCGGGTATCTAGTTTTTTGGGGTCTTTCTGCAGGTACCGGAAAGCTTTGTTTTTTTGGTCACTTGGGATTAGGCCCGGTTCAGACGCCGTACTTTTCATGAGCCGAACCTAATACATTGAATTAAGTACATGAAAAGTTCGGCGTCTGAATCAATTAGGAACGCCTGTTTCAATTTGGAACGGCTCAGCCGTTCTTTTCGCCTAGCCCGGCCGGGAATTTCGCCTTTGGATCGACTTTGGAACGCCTTTGATTCAGACGCCGAACTTTTCATGTACCGAACCAAATGCAGAAATTCTTATAACGTATTTTGTAAGCAGTTTGACCGAAATGCGCATTTTTCGCCTTCTGAATTTAGTTCGGCTTGAATTAAGATCGGCGTCTGAATCAATTCAGCCGGTCTAAATAATTTGGGTCGGTCTTAATTCGAATTAAATGAAAAGTTCGGCGTCTGAACCGGGCCTTAGTCTTTATTTGGAGTTGTTTTGTTTTCTGTCTTTTATTACTATTGTATTACGTAATCTGTGCTCCGGTACTCACAGAAAGAACCGTTTTTTGAAAGCACAGTTCCCGGCTGCCTGGTATGAGACACGTCGTAAAACAATATAAACATAAAAAAGGATTTTCAGAGACACTTTAATACTTGTCTTCGTGAATGAAAATTGTTGTCTCTTTATATGTTTCACCGAATTATTTTCCTTTTATTGATTGTTAGTAGCCTCTTTTGAAATTTTAATCGCTGTGCCGTTTGTTTTCAGTCGCTCATGAACATCGCTTGCAGGAGTAGTCGAAGTGCCGCGCGAATCGAACGCTTTTGAAGATTATGCAGATTATGTTGAAGCGTATAACTTGCGCTTGTCAAAAGTGAGAACCGGCTCGCCGTATAGGTGATTTTGAAAATTTTTTTGATCGTCCTGAATACTGAATGAGTGCAATTTGTATTGCAAATTTGTGAAACACTGCATTCTGTCCCAGGTCGGTATGATAAAAACAGCGCCTCATGGTACTATTTCACCTCAGATGTGATGCATAAAAAGTATAAAAGATTGGTTTACACGTCCCCAGACTTGTTGGTAAGATTTTGTAAAGTAAACTCGTCGAACGCAAAAAATTCGGCCTGACTTGTTTTCCAGGCCTAATGTATTGTGATCAAGAACCATTATGGCTAATGCTATTTTTTAGGTACACATATAAGGCTATAAACTCGACGTAAGATTACGTTCACTCTTAGCTTGGACTGTTTGCAAATTATTTTTCTCTAAAATCACTTAGCCTTTCCCCCAAAAGTCACTTGAATGTGCTCTAAAGTTAACTGATTTGTGGAATACAAGTTTACAATTGTTTGATTTAACTTATAAATTCGAGTTAGTAGGAGCTTCGCTTTTAGCCCTGGCTAAATCTATGTATTACCTTAATCATGCTCTAGTTTATTATTAATCGCACAAGAGTTAGCATGCCAGAAAATTAAGAGTTCCCTTCCGTAAAGAAACCAATCTTTGCTGAGATATTATGTAACAAACAATCATTTACAATGCACATTCTTTTCGTATTTCAAAATGAACCTTACCAACTTTAAAATGATTCTACGTGCAATTTTGTTTGTCGGCCAAGAAAGTGTTGTACTTAACATTATTTCAAAAAACCAAAAGAAAAAGTACCTTCAACACACTATTAAATTCATATGGCGATTAACAAAACTAGTTTCGTCCAACGACCTCTTTAGCGGAAACTGGTTTTGTGAATCGCTTTTGTGAATCGCCATAACAATTTATAATTAATGGTGTGTTGAAAAAGTGGAAACAAATTAAGTTTTTTTCTTTTGTTAAAGAAATAACTTAAAAATGGCTTAAACACAAAGGGCAGTTGAACGACGAATGAATGTGCGAATTACATTGAGGAACGAAGGAGAAATGCTAGTCTTCCTGTCAAATATATACACATCAACTTACAGAATTGTCTTGCCGTATCTTGGTTCAAGGTGATTTATACACTTGACGAGAAACTGACAAACTACTTGGAAACAGTGAAAGGTTTTCGCACTTTACCTGCATGTGTACTAGATCACACAAGTGACATACTCCAAAACGATGAAATGTGGAAAACAAATAGCCATTTATGGCTATGCGATTTAACCACTAGAGCACAAGTCTCTCGGGGGAAAGGGGGGAAGTGATTAGGTTGTTTGAGACTGCATTTCGAGCGTTTTGTAAAACATATAATATATATTTCTCACATTTAAAATCGATCAGTTTTTTTTATTTATGTGCGTTAACAGCCAGTGAAGAGAGTGTCTCCTCTTTTTTTGTTCCTCCAGTAAGAGGTGACAAGGACTGGCTTTATAAAAAAAGTTTCTTGCAACAGAACTACAATGCACTACAATGTAATATCTTCCGCTACCCTATGTAAAAAGAGACTAGAATATTCAATACAGACCATTTCTTTGTTGTTACGTTGGTATCTTTCTGCATGTTTCACCCGGAACTGGTTTAAAAAGACAATTAAAACTTTTAAAGAGCCAGTCATATTTTGCTGATTTAAAACGTAAAAGGAAGGGATTAACAGGACTGGAGACTGAAAACAAACCTTAGAGAAACTGTCCTTCTAGTTTGCAGTTCGTCTTCTCAAGGTAAAATTCGGCCTCTGTGTCACCAAACAAAACTTGTAAACAGTCGCAGTTCAGTCGGTAAACGCGTCCAAACACGACCTCATTGACAGGCTGCAATCACGCATTGCGTACAGTGGAATAAAAGAAAACTACTTCAACAGCAGTGACTCGTGAAAGAAAGCAAGGTCAATATTATAGCACTTAATCCGCTAAGGCAGAAAATAAGGTCTTCCTGTACAAGTCTTGAGCACGCAACTGGGCCAGGACGGAATCTTTACCTCTCGATGTCTCTACTAAACTCTCTCAAACTGTCTTTTTTCTGTTTTTTGAATTTACTTTTTAAACGTTCTCAGGTAAAAGAGAAAAACTAACTGCCTTTGCGCATGATTCATTTTTAACTACTAAATAAGCATTAAGGCAGACGGAAGTACTGTGCAATTATCATCACCTGCTGCTAGGTAATACGTTTTCCACATTCAGTACTCCTCATTCGCTCCAGGTTTTGCCTGCCTATTTTTGTTGAACATCTTGTGAAACCTGATAATACGGCCGGTGTTTTCTTTTCCTTTGTTCTTTGGTTTTCAATTCAATTTCAATAACTCTTCCATGCACGCCGGTGTGATCAAAGCATTTGCAAGGAACAATTATTACCACTATGACATTTTTTTCCCTGCAAATTAAAGAAATTATATTATTGACGCAGATAACCATCTATCATCTAAATGTCTGGTTTAATCTTTAAAATACACATTTTTTTAACTTTTGCTGCCGGGCATCAGCCGGCAGCAGACCATATCCTTGATCCATTTGAGATTTTTGGTTTGATGGTTGCATTGTTCGATGGTTCCATGGTTCCATGGTTCGATGGTCATCGACTGCAGCGCTGTGGAGCGCTGTGCAGTCAGCGGTTTGCTTAGCTGCCGCGCCTGTTTTTCTTTTAGGAGCAACCCGCCATTTTGTTTTGCTCTCATGTACTTTGCACAAATTGTAGTTTATCGGATGCTTGCTGTCTTTTTAAACGGCCTAAACGGTAAGAACAGTTCAAGACGTATTGTACGGAACATTTTTTCGGTTTATTTTTTTATTCAGGTTCCAAGATTAGTTCTAGCGAGTATTCTTTTGTCACACAGATTGTTATCTCGGTAATCAGGATTGTAAGTTACATAAGTGAACGGCATGTGCTGTACATCTACCTGACCTGTGAATAAACAAGTTTTGGTCTTTACGTGATTTGTTCGCAACTCATCTCATCGATCCTGTGTACGATGATTGTTCGATGAAGAAACAGCCTATCAGCACTGCTGTTGTTTTAGAATGTCGTGAATTATTAAAATGAATTACAAAATGGTATTGAAACCTTAGCGAGTTTTATGATTGTAAGCATATTTGTCATCGTGATCGGTTCATTTTTTATATTACGCTCTGAGTGTTTCATAATGCCAGCAAGTCTAAGTTATTGACTTTTAATAAAAAACAATTCATATGTTCAACTGTTCTACAAACCACAGGTGGCCCAAACTCACGTTGCGCGAAAAGGTTGTAATGTAATTTACATAACCTAGGTGACGCGCCGGTGTCGCGTTACAGGCGACCGTTGAAAATATAAGAGACTTTGCATGAGAAATATATTACTGAGATCTGCGAACGCTAAATAACGCTAAACCTTACTTTTTCTTAAATGAAATGAATAAAAAAGTCTTACCTGCAATCTATTCCACTGCGTTTTGGTGTCTGTTTGTCGTTTTACTGTCTTTTTGGCTTTATTGCGTAACCGCTGTTACTCCTTTCATAGAACGTTCTATGAAAGGAGTAACAGCGGGCTTGATTTGATTTGCACAACTACACATGCCACTCAGAAGTTGAAATGGTACGTTTTTTCCTTGCGCAATAATTAAGTGCAGATTTAAACGAGTTTACATCGGACACTGGAAAAGAAGACAAATTTGGTTACTCGAGGAAGGTTTTAAATATTAAAAGGTTGTTTCATTAACAACCTTTAAAACTAACATTGCGGTATAGGGCTCCCGTTTTGAGGTTTAATTCTAATGAGTTTTCTTTTGTTTCAGATTCCAAGAGCTTGCGGGCTTAATTTTATTTGCACAATTACACATGTCACTCAGATTAATGTGAAGTGGTTTGTTTTTATTTTTTCCGCAATAATAAAGTGCGGATTTAAACGAGTTCCAGTAGACTTCGGACCCTCACTTGAGTTCAGACTTACCGGCAGAAGGAGTTTAAGTCGCTTCACCGGAAGAGAAGACAAATTCAGTTACTCAAGGAAGATTTTAACTGTTAAAAGGTTTGTTTCATCCTTGCCTGTTCCCTTTTTTTAATTTTTTTTCACCTTTGATGTTTATAGAATTTTGGGGCTTTATCCAGCAAAGGTCAATTTACTTGATGCAGGAGAATGCTTTTTCGATTCCTTAAAATATAATAATAATAATGATAAAAAATAATAAATGGAGCAAGACTTCATCGTACACAGCTGGTGAAGACTTTTGAAAGTTACTTCAGTTCTAATACATTTTAACGAGATGTGGTCCTTGTCAAAACACGCAAACTTGAACATTTATTTTCTAAACTTAGCTAATCCTTTTTAAACCATAATCTTGTTCCAGGGGATAGTGTAGTTTTTGGAATTTAAAACACACTTGAATGAGGACTCAAACTGAACGCAGTGTAATAACTGCTGTCATGAAAAGAGAATTCCAAACACATAAAATAATTACCCTTTCATTTGCGTAAGCTTCATTTGTTACGGTAAAGTTTAAATTAAATCACAGGAAGATAAGAACTTAAGCCTATCAACATGTGCAAAATAAAGAGAGAATGATCTCTTGGCAAAATTCAGGGGCACCCAACGAGAATATAGTTCAAAACTACATAAACATAGCATTGTTGAACGTACTTTAGTATTTAACGGTAGATAAAGGCTTATTTTTATCCCCTAAAAATTTTTCATCTGTTCGGATTTCCCAGCTGAAAGTATAGTGATACGAAAATTATAGGGATCAAAAATTACCTTTTCGAAAATTTCAGCCAGAAAAAAGGCTCCCGAAAATTCTAGGTGAACTTTTTAGGGTAAAAATCCGTTAAAAATAGGCAATTATACAATTTTTTTGAAGTTCGAAAATCCTAGGAGAGGCAGGCAAGCAAGAAATGTTTAGAAAATGATCCGAAAATTCTAGACCTCAAATCGTCTTCCGAACAGATAATTTTCCGAAAATTGTCGTTGGGTGCCCCTGAAAATTTTATATAGCTTCTAGTACATAAAGAAAAATACATGAACTACGAGATTTGACCATGCCACTCAATCATCCAACGCAACTCTTCCAGGATAAGTTCACAATCAAGTATGAAGAATTAAGGCCCAGTTCAGAGGTCGTGCTTCTGCCGTGCCGAGCTTAATTGTAATTTGGTTCGACTGTAGCACGGCAGGAAAACAACTTTGATTTAGACGTCGTGCCGGAGTCGAACCAAATTCAGGATTTACTGATGCTTCGTAACAATTCTTCTCCCAACTCCCCGTGGGAACTCAATCTCGCCAAAATACATCAATATAATTTATGAATTTTGTTTAGCGCGGCAGAAGCACGACGTTTGAATCACTGCCGTGCAGGGCCGTGTAGCACGGCAGCGCTTGTCGAACTTAATTGCTTGCCGAACTTAATTCAGAAGTTTGATTCAGACACCGTGCTTCTGCCGTGCTTTTGTCGAACTTAATTCCTGAATTTAGTTTGGCGCGGCAGAAGCACGACGTCTGAACTGGCTGGGCCTAAGACTCTCAATCATCATTTCTTGTCGTCTTCTATAAAACCGTAAACAACTCTGAAAAATCTTCTACTCGACCACAGCCAGTCAGCACTTTTTTCATGCTTTTTTAATTATATCACGAAGAATTAATTCTGTGCCTTTCACTTGAAAATATAAACTCTTCTACATACGTATTTGAGGGTTGGCTCTTTTTTTTAGTCTTGTGGGTTTTCTAAACAGAAACACAGCTTGAAAGCCTGCATTTAGAGAGGTGAAGTGAGTGAAAAGGTCGGGCATCGAGGAACAATCTGTTTACGATTAATGCTCACTGGTCTACTTCTTAGCGTAGTAAACCGCATGTAATGACAAACCCAAGACCAGAAGAAAGGAAAACGTAAGCTCCACATCACCGAGGACAAAAATTGGTTACAGCAAAGAAAGCAAAGACTAATGGGATCAAAAGTGAATTCACTTCACACTGTCGAATCGCTGCGAAAACGAACTTCTTGTTGTTGTTCCCAGTCCTTTCTGCGCATGCTCGCTACTGTTCTCGAATGATTGACAGATTTCTTAACTGGGGCGATCATGGAAAGCCGAAAAGCGGTAAGATCAAAGGCCGTTGCCAGCCCCCCTGATTCAGATCATTCAAGTTCAGTTCAAGCATCCTTAGGGTACTTTTTAGCAAACAGATCACTGAACGCCGACATCTTCCAGATCAAGATCTGTTAGATTATTAATAGTGGATTTATGTGCATTCAGAGCCTGTGAGGAAAGTGTCTCTTCTTTTTATTGTTCCTCAAGTAAGAGATGACAAGGACTGGTAACAGAACTGCAATGCGCTACAATGTAATATCTTCGCGACCCTACGTAAAAAGAGACTACAATATTCAATGGCTAGACGGCTTTTGACACTTTAATAAAGTTTCTATCTATCTATCTATCTATCTATCTATCTATCTACCATTTCTTTGTTGTTACGTTTGTATCTTTCTGCATGTTTCACTCGGAACTGGTTTAGGAAGACAATTATAAGTTTTATTTTGTTTAAAACGTAAAAGGGAGAGATTAAGAGGACTGGAGAATGAAAACAAACCTTAGAGAAAGGATGTCCTTCTAGTTTGCAGTTCGTCTTCTCAAGGTAAAATTCGGCCTCTGTGTCACCAAACAAAACTTGTAAACAGTCGCTTTTCAGTCGGTAAACGCGTCCAAACACGACCTCATTGACAGGCTGCAATCACGCATTGCTTATAGTGGAATAAAAGAAAACTAATTCAACAGCAGTGACTCGTGAAAGAAAGCAAGGTCAATATTATAGCACTTAATCCGCTAAGGCAGAAAATAAGGTCTTCCTGTACAAGTCTTGAACACGCAACTGGGCCAGGACGGATTCTTTACCTCTCGAAGTCTCTACTAAACTCTCTGCCTTTTTTATGCCTTTTTATGTTTTTTAATATGCTTTTTAAACGTTCTCAGATCAGGTAAAGGAGAAAAACTAACTGCCTTTGCGCATGATTCATTTTTAACTACTAAATAAGCATTAAGGCAGACGTAAGCACTGTGCTTATTATCACCTGCTGCTACCTAATGCGTTTTCCACATTCAGTACTCCTCATTTGCTCAAGGTTTTGCTTGCCTATTTTTGCCTAACATTCTATGAAACCTGATAATACGGCCGGTGTTTTCTTTTCTTTTGTTGTTTGGTTTTCAATTCAATTTCAATAACTCTTCCATGCACCCCGGTGTGATCAAAGCATTTGCGAGGAACAATTATTACCACTATGACATTTTTTTCATTTTTTCCCTGCAAATTAAACAAATTATATCATTGACGCAGATACGCAGACGCAGGGGGGCAGGGGTAGGGGGTGGCAGGAGACTCCAAATCTCCCACCTCTCACACCATACATTCCAGGTCCCATCCTTATTAATCTTGGCTTTTTAACTTTAGCCGTCTTTCGATTGAAAAATATTCAGCGCCTGCGTATACGGGTAAAATCTTTGCTCGTTGGCACTTGGCGATAGCTTTAGCTAGTTTATTATCTATTACCACTTCGCAGAGTTCCGCATGATCACTCTTTAAGAAGGTCAGTAGGCAGCTTTCTGTTAAGGAACGAACTGTGACCACATTGTTTAATCGGCTATTGAGCACGTTGTAGCTTTGGTGTGACTAGTGAGACATAACTGTCAAAAACGATTTCATTTGTTCTTCAAGTAAGAGATGGTAAGCATTATGTTCTCACTCAGATCCTCTCTTGGTTCTACTAGAATAGAGTGCTTGTGACAAAATTCAGATCAGTTTCTTCAACAAAACTACAATGAGCTACAATGTACCTTCCGCGACCCTGTGTAAAAGAGGCCAGTGAGAATATTCAACGTCCTCAAAACATTAGTTGTTTGTATCTCTTTGCATGGCTCACCCAAATATGGTTTAACCCTCGGACTTACACGCAAATTCATACCCCCACCGTGGTACAAGAGGGGGGTGGATGGAACCCCTCCCCGAGTTTTTGATATGTTGCACTATTTTGAAATGATTTTACCTTTAGTGGAAAGCCTTCTATTTTAGGGGTGGTGGCGCTAGTGGAGGCCTTTGACGTCACCAACAATGGTCGCCGTCTTGGATTTTACAAAGAATTAGAAATCAGGTTAAAACCGCGAGAAATGGTAATTTTTTGTGCTTTACATGAAAAATAACACATAAATAAGCACTTTGCATGATTTTAGCCGCAAGATTTACTTTTATTGTTGAGAGAAGTTGAAAAAACGTGTATTTTCACACAGAATTGGCTTGACCAGCTGATACTTGTGACATCATCTTGTAACCATAGCTACTGATCATCACTAAACTTGTCTCAAAATCTGCGCGAGGGATAAACGAACAGCTACTGAAAACGTGAGTTGCTGATCTTTTATCCTCTAGGGAAAAAAAAAACTCAGAAAAACCTTATGAGGCGAACACTCCCCTCCCCCACCCTCCTTGTACGTCCGAGGGTTAAGAAGACAATTCAGTAAAAGTTTAAAGATCCAGTCAGATTTTCTTTTAAACTTAAAAGAAAGTATCGAGGATTGAAGACTGAAAACAAACCTTGGAGAAAGGATGTCTGCTGGCTAGTTTGCCCTTCGTCTTCTCAAGGTAAAATTCCTTCGAGTCACCAAACAAAACTTGAAAACAGTCGAAATTCAGTCTGTAAACACATCCCAACACGATCTCATTTACGGCTGCAATCACGCATTGTTTACAATGGAACAGAAGAAAAATACTTCAACAGCAGTGACTCGTGAAAGAAATGCAAGGTCAATACTCAGCAGTTCCGCTTAGGAACGTAGTTAAGTCAGTGTTAAGTCTTCCTGTACAAGTCTGAAACACGCATCCAGCGGGCCGGCTAGGACAGATTCGGCTTTCCCTGTCGATTTCATGTCTCTGCTAAACTCTCTCCGAACTGTCGTTAATTTTTTATTATTATTTTGAATAAATTTTAAACCTTCTGAGTTTATAAGATGAAAACTATTTGCTTAAATTGCGCATGATTCATTTTTAAAGAGCTTCCACGACTAAGCCGAGGAGAGGCAGACGTGAGCACTCGCGTGCATATTATCAGCTGGCTGCTCCTGATACGTTCTCCACAATCGGTACAATTCCAACAACGTTCCCTCAAGGTTTTGTAATGAAACCTGATAATACGACCGGTGTTTTCTTTTCCTTCTTGGTTGGTTTTCAATACAATTCAATGAATCCTCGATGCACGCCCGGTGATCAAAGCATTTGCACGGAATAAATATAACCCCTGCTTTCCGCTCCCGCCTCTCGCTCTCTTTGTTCTCCGGGCGCTTTTCGTATGTTATTTCCTATGTTTTCTTTTTCCTTTTTTTCTGATAAATAAAAGTTCTGACTTAAGTCTCGAAACTTGGGCGAAGCAATTCATGAGGCATTTTAACATTGACAAGTTGAGTCGGATCAGAACATGGGAGTGATATTTAAAGGCCTGAGTCCCAGTCGCTTATTATATAATAAGTATGATCCATTGAGCCATTTTAAGTCTTCTTCAGTACAACAATTAAAGGACCGGGAACGGATATCGATGGAAACTAATAAAAGAGCACAATAATCATTTCTGTTGGTAATGATTACTCAGTCTCTACGTCAATAATCACCTTATATTGGCTCTTCATTCAGTACACTTTTATAGACTAACCTACGCTATAGGGCTCCCGTTTTGAGGTTTAATTCTAATGAGTTTTCTTTTGTTTCAGATTCCAAGAGCTTGCGGGCTTAATTTTATTTGCACAATTACACATGTCACTCAGATTAATGTGAAGTGGTTTGTTTGTTTGTTTGTTTTTTCCGCAATAATAAAGTGCAGATTTCAACGAGTTCCTGTAGACTTCGGACCCGCACTTGAGTTCAGACTTACCCGCAGAAGGAGTTTAAGTCGCTTCACTGGAAGAGAAGACAAATTCAGTTACTCAAGGAAGATTTTAACTGTTAAAAGGTTTGTTTCATCCTTGCCTGTTCCCTTTTTTATATTTTTTTCACCTTTGATGTTTATAGAATTTTGGGGTTCTATCCAGCAAAGGCCAATTTACTTGATGCAGGAGTATGCTTTTTCGATTCCTTAAAATATAATAATAATAATAATGATAAAGATAAAAATAAATGCAGCAAGACTTCATCGTACACAGCTGGTGAAGACTTTTGAAAGTTACTTCAGTTCACCTAGCTCATAACACGATTCTCCTGAAAAGCCCTTGGTTTCATAGTTATCTATCAGGGCTGTCTGCAAAATAATGAAAGTAGTTTCCGAGAATTAGAATGTAATAATGAACACTCTATCTCTTTACTTCCCAAGCCAGTTATGTTTCTGCTTAAATATTAAGCGAAATTCATTCACGTGCACCCAACGACGATTTCCTCCTACTTAAGGACTGTGCAATAATTACCTGGAGGGGGCGGGGGAGGGGGGTTGGAAAATTAGAGGGGGGGGACATAGGAGAAAATGACAACAAAAGAGAGGGGGGTCGGATGTAAAATTTAATACATACAGGGCGGGGGGAGCATTACTTTTTTATTCCTTTTTGCAAACTGGAAAAGTAGTGGAAGAGTTATTAGAGTTCAAATATAAATACTAACATTAGAATAAAACTGACAAATTTATCAACTCTAAGGTGTTCTGATCTTTGAACGGTTGTTTTCCTATCTGCAGTAGGAAAGGAATGCCTCTGTTATATATGTTAAAACAGTACTACTTTATTTGCACTAGGATTTAATAAAAAAAGGAAACTTTAATTGAAAGTTGCAAAAGCAGCACTATATAAAAAATATTATTCAATGAAAAAGAAAGATGCCAGTGTTAGCACACATGGCATCACAATTTAGCAGAATGAAAAACCCAACTGTTGAAATTTTAATAGCGATACAAATTTAAAGTATGGTAAATAAAACACAGTATGATTAAATTGAGCTTCAAAAACAACAAAAAAAGCTCAATCAGACAGGAATTCCTGAGTTCTCAATAACGCAAGCGGGAACCTTAGTGCCAGAGATACTGTAGAAGACGAGTAATCTCCCAATTCATACGAAGACGACACAAGCTCAGAGTCCAGTGATTCTGATGACTCTTCCAATGACTCTTCGACATACGTCGAAGAGTCATTTAAAGTGGTGTTTGTACCGGAGGAAGAAATCCAACAAGTAAACTAGATATGAGGGTATCGATGGGAGGAGACTTTTTTAAAGGGCGGGGAGGGGAGGGGGGTTGGCCTCAATATTATCATTATGTGAGGGGGGCTTGAAATCAATTTTTGCTTAATAAGAGGGGGTATGACTTAGATTTGGGGCATATTTCACCCATTTCCCTACCTCCTCCCCCCCCTCCAGGTCCCTTATGCATTGAAAACACTTTTTAGGCTATCCAGAGTACTTTTATATCTCTAGAAATGCATCACGGCTAAGCAGCGCTAAAAAAGTTGTATCTGTTCGGTCATCCTAGGGCACATTGAGTCTTTTCGAAATTACCAGGGCTTCAGTTTTATTTTGCCGAAACATTTTAATTTACTCTTTCCATCGGATTTTCGAATACGAAAATTTTAAGTTACCTTTTTCTTCGAAAACTGAATAGCTTAAAACTTCAGAAAATTGTAGGAAATTATTAGGTAAGCTTTTACGAAACAAAATTGTACTTGAATGGAACGGTCATCTAAAAATTCTTAGCCTCCCTCAAGGTATAGAAAAGTTTGGACAATATTTGCTTCTGTGAACAGATATTTTACAGGAAGCTGTCGTTGGATGCCCCTGGTCATTGTGAAATGATACGTTTGTGAACAGTCGTAATCCCTTTGTAACTCATTTTATGTCAGTTTCTTTGCGTAAATCGCGATCGAGATTCGACTTTTTAGTTTGAAATGCAATAATTCCGCTAATACGAGACATATGCAAATTTCCTCACACCCTTTTTTAGGTCTTTTATCTGTCAATCAGATGCAATAAAAAGGAAGTGAATATTTAACAACGCGAAAGGGCCGGGGCTTCAGCAGTAAACTCGATACCTCTGAGTTCGAGAGCAAAAAACTTAAGCGCCTTTTGAAATTCGAAAAAATAAAATCTTTTATAAGGTAATTTAGTCTTTTAGCTTTAATTTGATATATAACTTGCCTTTGTAGCGAAAATACTCGCGCGACTAGAATTTCTGTGGGCACCTCGTTTTCCTTTACCGAGACCTTAATCGAACTCAATCCACCTGATCAAGTTCTATTTTGTTCGGCAGACAAAACGCAGCCAGTTTTAATTGAATTAATCGGAAAGATCTTCCTCTAGGATGTATGTGAAGCAGTTTAAAAACAACATCGTTTCAATTAACCCGGAATGAACTAGAATCTTTACTGTTAAGGTGATTCAAAATCGATAAATTCACAACTAATACTGCGAAACATGAATGGCATCGTAAAACCATGCATGTAAAATGTCTTTCCCGGGACAATACCAACGACTGGGGATATTCTTAGGATACCAGAAAAGTCAAATCTTCCTCGATAAAGTATCGATAATTAAAAAAGGACCACTGTAACTGGATCTGAACGCACTTGAAAATAGTCATTATAGCTATCGCTACCAGTGTTCTCATTATCTCAAAGTAAATGTCTATTAAAACTACAAGTGGCGCTTGTAAAAGCTGTTGCACAACAGAAGCAATACAAGCTAAACTTTTGGCATAAAAGGCTTCATTAAAAGTAAAACAAATAATACCGACATCGATGGAGAAAGAGCACTTGTTTTCCGCCCAGTCTGTGACATCTTTGCGTACTCGTGTTTGAAATTGAAGCCAGGCAATTGATACTTAACTTATTTGAATGCAACGCCATGTCTGAAACCAGACAAAACAGGTTTATGGCCGGTTGTTGTTGTGTTCGATTTTGTTCGATTGTTTAAGTGTTTGATTTCCGAATGTTCGACGGTGTCCTTGGGGCGTACTACCGCTGGCCTCTCAGAGCCCCTAGCCCATTATAGTCTATTCTGTGGCCAATTATAGACCCCCATCTTAGTCACGTTTGGGCAAATATGTAATTTTCGTGATCCCAACTTAGTCACTTTCTATTTATGTATCTACCTTACACTGAATGAAAGAAAATTTTTCTTTTCACATACAGTACAACATTCCCGTACGTTTGCTAACCGTAAATATGAAGAACTGTCTTAAGCCTGCTTTTCACTAGCGCATAAGCATAAGCACAAGCACATGTGTAAGCAAGTGAAAACTGGGTCGACATAAGCGTAAGCATAAGCACAAGAAAAACGGACAAGTACGTTCTTCTTGTGCTTATACTTATGTCCTAGCTTTGACTATGAATAAAAACTGGGTCGACATAGATAAGCACAAGCATAAGCAGAAGGCCGACTTGGACCAATCATAGATCACTTTGACCCAGACCTCATGCGAACATTTGAAAAGCAATATGGGGGACGCTTCGTCCGCCATCTTGTTTATCATTGGATTGAGGAGAGCTGGTATCGAGAATTGAGTCAAATATGCCATTCTGCGTGTGCGTATGTCCTTATGCTTATTGTTATGCGCTAGTGAAAACCAGGTTTTACCCCAAAAATCCGAAAACGTGCGACCCCATTCTAGTAATGCTATTGAAAACGCGACCCCATTATAGTCAATCTAGTCGTGAAAATGCGACCCCATTAGGCGGCACATCCCCATTAGCCTCTTATAAGGAAGTACCCCCCGGTTTATGTTTGACTGGCAAACTTTTTAGGTGATTCCGATTAATATAAGTTCGATTACCGAACCAAATCGAAGTCAATCGTACAATTGGAGTTCGATTGGGTTCCATAACCGAACGTTCGATTGACTACGCCGGGAGTATTGACTTACTGCAAGAGAGGATAAAGGGGACAGAGAAGGCATCCCCCATACACACCCTATTCCATAGGTAGTTTGTCTCGAGTTATTTTTAAGACCACAGATCCCAAGGGGGATTAGACAACAGCCAATCACATAGCGCGAATGTGTTCTGCGTGGATGACCCACGCTCAGAGCCACGCGTCCTTCACGAATTGACGCAGAAAAAAATGGCGGAATACGCGAAGAGCGATATTGCTGGTTTTCAGTGTCACTCCATTGAAAATAGATCAAAATAAACATCAAAACCATTCGACAGATAAAGTCCAGAATGTGGGAAATGAAAGGAGGTAAATATACAAAGACCCTCGCTGAGATTTGGGTCGAAGGAATAATTCGTATAAGAGATATCCGAAGAAATGTTTTACCCAAATTTATAGAGCTTTGTATGGAGACGCCATGCTGGAGCTCATCGGGATGAGCTCCAACATGGCGGACGGAAACCAACAGAAACATCTGTTACCGAGTTTTGATACGAAAGCGTGAATTTACTCCTAGAGGAACTCATAAACATTAAAGTAATACTTTTTCTTATACTTTAACTGTTTAGATAGCAAAATTTCTCGAAAAAAGTCACTTTTTTAACCTAAATGATCGCTCTCTCGGCCGTCTTGTAAATGCTGCGTCACGCAAAAGCTTAGAAATTCAAGCGTACTCTATTTTAAAACCAAGAAACCTTTTGAAGCGAAAATTTGTTTTGAAATTAGTTTTCAGCTACTCTAATACTCCATGAAAGTAAAATCTCAGTAGGATCGATAGTTTTGTAGTTTGAATTTTAGTGACGTTGTGTGAAAACCAACAATTGCTATTCGTTTTGTCAACGAAAACGACTTAAGAGAGATTTCTACTAAAGTGGTGTTCACGAAATGGAAATTAAAAAAGAATCGCCCTTCCTCTCTTGTATGGAGCTAACAGTATAGCAGGGAAATCCTTAACACACTGAATATACTCTCAGGATCATTTATAATTTATAGTTTGAAGAGAGCAGTTTCTGGTTTGATATTTATTCTTTTATTAGTCTTTTATAATTCAACAAAAATAACACTTGACGTCCTACTTGCTTTATTGAACAAACGACCGGTTTCAATAGACCGGCGAAATTTCTCATTTTATTTAAGCACTGAGCTTACGACAACTTCGAGTTAAGCTGATTTCACGGGTTGTCAAAGAGTCCAGCGATTCCCTTTTCCCAGGTGAGCGCCGACCCATTTCGCTTCAATATTCAGAAATGCTCTCGATCTCTTTACGCTTTCATTGCCTTTCGCCAGACATGTTTTGCACGGCGTTTAGTCAGGCGAAACCTCCACGAAACATCCAGGCAGCGCGCGAGGTAACTTTATCCAGAGATCGAGCGCAAGATCGGTCAGTATTTTAAACAGCTCCGCCGAGCAACGCAATAGGCCAGATTCTTTACCTATCGACTATTCCAAAATCGAACCAAACTCTCTTTATTGGCTATCTTCCACAGCTGCCACTTATTGTCTGAAGCTTCAGTGACTGGTGAGCAAAAATATTTGTAGACAAAAATAACTAAAATTTAAACCCCTTTTTGTACGATTTTGTTTACCGATAATGTTATGTTCTAACTAAGGCCAGTTTAAAACTGACTGTGTATGCTTGCAAAAATTTAATTTAGTTTTCCGATGTTAGGTGTAAAGATGTAAGCCCTTGTTAACTACCTGCAGACATTTTTAGCAATCAGAAATTATATATTTTTTTAGGGAGAGCTCGGCTGAAATATTTCAAGCCAATTACTGAATTCAACACAGTATCCAGAAGTTAAACTTAAAGGCAGGTTAGTCATTTACAAACCAGCATAGAGGTCAGAACCTCATCGTATATCCGGCTGCGTCCGATATTCTCTGCCTTAAACTCAAGGAAGTTATGCAGCACATTAACTACAAGGCTCAATAAAAACACACTAACAATTTGAGCCTGATTTTATTATATGAGCCCGGCTAGCCCTGATTGCCACTAGACCATGGAATAGTTGAGACTCCGCAATTCCACTAGATGGCGTAATGTAAATCTTCTCTAGATGGAAATAAGTTCAAACAATTTTCTAAAATTATTTTGTCATGTTTTGTGACTGACGAATGTGTGCTAAGAAACATGGAAAAATATTTAACAAATCGTCACATGTAAGGCAGTCCGAGATTCCGGAATCCGGGAAATTAGGCTTGTGGAATTCGGAATACATGCAGCTGAAGGAATCCTGAATCCCACTTAAGATCGGAATCCAGAATTCAAGTTCCACTGAAAATGAGTGGAATCCCGAGTACCTGGAATCCCGGTGGAATCCATGTCGTGGAATCCAGAATCTAAGACTGTGTTGGATTCCCTTACATGAGGCGAAACAAATTTAAAAAAAAAACATCGCGATTTCGTTTCAAAAGGATTGCAATTAACTGCTGCACACGCGTAAGTTTGCCCCCGTGCAAAAACTAGACGATATATATAGAACATATCCAAGCTAGAAAATTATTCTTTCTTATCATTTCTCATCTTGTAACAAAATTTCTTTTTAATTTTTCTTTCTTTGTTACTTCCAGTTTGATTCACCGAGGTGAAGGAGCTGAAAAGAGGGAAAAAAGGGAAACGATTGTAAGTGCCTCACATTTAAACAATGTTCAAACTGCACCGGATAGCTTTTGCACCTACAAAAACCTTCTGCTCACGCATAAGACGGCGATTTCGGCCCGAGTTTTGTAACGGAGCGACGCTGCGCCGCGCCGATCTCTAAAGTGCAGAGCTCTAAAAGCTATTCGGTATAATGTGAACATGGGCTCAATTTGCAATCATTATCTTAAAATAATAATAATAATAATAATAATAATAATAATAATAATAATAATAATAATAACAACTGGCAGTTTTATAATTTTCAAAAATGATTTTAATTTCTGGAAAGAGAAAATTAATAAAAGAAGTTTATCAATTCTAAACTTTTCAGCCTGTCAACAAAGTCATGACTGTATTCATTATTAATTTGTTTTTGTTTCCTTTTCATGTTAAAACTGAAGTTGATGAATTGACAATACATTTCGTATGTAACGTATTTTCAGAATACCAACGTATTTTTTAATCATGTCAATTCCAAAATGAAAATCGTTTCTTGACTATTGTATTTTTTGAAAATCAAAAATTGCTGACTGACCAAAATCATTCTATAGTGACGGTTAAGAGGAGGGTAAGACCAGGAGTAGGAAAAGTTTTGGTTAGATAACATTCGCCTGAAAGCCGTGATCGTTGTTGTCGCTTTACAGTGACTTTATTAAAGGCTGAAATCACGGTGAACAATCCGTACACCCGTCCGTCAAATGCAATTCCTTAAAAGCTACAGTGGAATTCACATCAGCAGCTCAGACGTCGATGAGCTTTTCAAGCAGTATAAATCAGGTTGAAATTAAAATCTGACATTGTTAAGTCAAAAGTTGTCAGTAAATTGTCGGTCCTGACAAACCGACAAAAATTTTTGCATTCGTTTACCGAAATGAGGATTTTTAAAGCTTGAATGAAGACTTCAAGTTGATGATGGTACTCCCTAATAAAATAGAACAAAATGGGGTAAACGTGACGTCATTTGATGATCTGCAACACGAAGAAACTACCAGGAAAAGAGAAAAAAAGCATTGCTTTCACCCTTAGTTTATATAATGGCTATTTTGAAGTTAGTTCTTGGCCGAATAAAAACTGTTGGGAGGTGACGTTTCCAAAAAGGCAGCATACACATACAGAGATATACCCACTAAAAAGCAATTTAGTACATTTTCACCTGCAGATAATTTTCTAGGTAATCACAAAAGCGAACAATGTTTTTCACAGGTAAAATATAAAAAGGAAATAAAAGCTACAGGTCCAGGCAGAATTTTGAACGATGTTTATATTCGTGTGAGAAAAATGATGGGCGCTTTCTATTTCGCTTAAACTTCAAGAAATTCGGTTAGAAATAAAATGGAAAACACCATTTCGGTTAGGTCCGACAGGAATATTTGGAACACCTTTGAAAGTTGTCCACTAAGCATGAGAAGGGGGAGGGGAGAGGCGGTTTATAGTTGTTGGGGTTTATGTAATTGTTAATTAGTCCATCAAAGAAAAACCCTTTTTCTTTTCCTATTTTCTTACGTGTTCGATGATTGCTTTCATAACAATTCTTTTTTTCACTAGGCTTATTACCTTCAAGAAGAAATGAAATATTAAGATTTAAGAATGACACAGAGAATAATAAAACGAATTGAAGATCTTACAAAGCGTCTCTTAGAAGCCAAGCAAAATAACAGCAGGTTTGAAGAAGGACGTGCCTATAGCAATCTCGGCATTGCTTATGACTCTCTCGGCGACTTCCAACGAGCAATAGAGTACCACGAGAAACACCTTAGCATTGCCAAGGACGTCGGCGACAGGGCTGGAGAAGGACGTGCCTATTGCAATCTCGGCAATGCTTATGACTCTCTCGGCGACTTCCAACGAGCAATAGAGTACCACGAGAAAGACCTTAGCATTGCCAAGGACGTCGGCGACAGGGCCGGAGAAGGACTTACCTATGGCAATCTCGGCAATGCTTATCGAAATCTCGGCGACTTCCAACGAGCAATAGAGTACCACGAGAAAAGCCTTAGCATTGCCAAGGACGTCGGCGACAGGGCCGGAGAAGGAAGTGCCTATGGCAATCTCGGCAATGCTTATCGAAATCTCGGCGACTTCCAACGAGCAATAGAGTACCACGAAAAACACCTTAGCATTGCCAAGGACGTCGGCAACAGGGCCGGAGAAGGAGGTGCCTATGGCAATCTCGGCAATGCTTATCACTCTCTCGGCGACTTCCAACGAGCAATAGAGTACCACGAGAAACGGCTTAGCATTGCCAAGGACGTTGGCAACAGGGCCGGAGAAGGACGTGCCTATGGCAATCTCGGCAATGCTTATCACTCTCTCGGCGACTTCCAACGAGCAATAGAGTACCACGAGAAAAACCTTAGCATTGCCAAGGACGTCGGCAACAGGGCCGGAGAAGGAAGTGCCTATGGCAATCTCGGCAATGATTATCACTCTCTCGGCGACTTCCAACGAGCAATAGAGTACCACATGAAAGACCTTAGCATTGCCAAAGACGTCGGCGACAGGGCCGGAGAAGGAAGTGCCTATGGCAATCTCGGCAATGCTTATCACTCTCTCGGCGACTTCCAACGAGCAATAGAGTACCACGAGAAACGCCTTAGCATTGCCAAGGACGTCGGCAACAGGGCCGGAGAAGGAAGTGCCTATGGCAATCTCGGCAATGCTTATCGAAATCTCGGCGATTTCCAACGAGCAATAGAGTACCACGAGAAACACCTTAGCATTGCCAAGGACGTCGGCGACAGGGCCGGAGAAGGACTTGCCTATTGCAATCTCGGCAATGCTTATTACTCTCTCGGCGACTTCCAACGAGCAATAGAGTACCACGAGAAAGACCTTAGCATTGCCAAGGACGTCGGCAACAGGGCCGGAGAAGGACGTGCCTATGGCAATCTCGGCAATGATTATCACTCTCTCGGCGACTTTCAACGAGTAATAGAGTACCACGAGAAATGCCTTAGCATTGCCAAGGACGTCGGCAACAGGGCCGGAGAAGGAAGTGCCTATGGCAATCTCGGCAATGCTTATCACTCTCTCGGCGACTTCCAACTAGCAATAGAGTACCTCGAGAAAGACCTTAGCATTGCCAAGGACGTCGGCAACAGGGCCGGAGAAGGACGTGCCTATGGCAATCTCGGCAATGCTTATTACTCTCTCGGCGACTTCCAACGTGCAATAGAGTACCACGAGAAAGGCCTTAGCATTGCCAAGGACGTCGGCAACAGGGCTGGAGAAGGAAGTGCTTATGGCAATCTCGGCAATGCTTATCACTCTCTCGGCGACTTCCAACGAGCAATAGAGTACCACATGAAAGACCTTAGCATTGCCAAAGACGTCGGCAACAGGGCCGGAGAAGGAGGTGCCTATTGCAATCTTGGCAATGCTTATCACTCTCTCGGCGACTTCCAACGAGCAATAGAGTACCACAAGAAACACCTTAGCATTGCTAAGGACGTCGGCAACAGCGCCGGAGAAGGATGTGCCTATGGCAATCTCGGCAATGCTTATAGAAATCTCGGCGACTTCCAACGAGCAATAGAGTACCACGAGAAACACCTTAGCATTGCCAAGGACGTCGGTAACAGGGTCGGAGAAGAACTTGCCTATTGCAATCTCGGCAATGCTTATTACTCTCTCGGCGACTTCCAACGAGCAATAGAGTACCACGAGAAAGACCTTAGCCTTGCCAAGGACATCGGCAACAGGGCCGGAGAAGGACGTGCCTATGGCAATCTTGGCAATGATTATCACCCTCTCGACGACTTCCAACAAGCAATAGAGTACCACGAGAAATGCCTTAGCATTGCCAAGGAGGTCGGCAACAGGGCCGGAGAAGGACTTGCCTATTGCAATCTCGGCAATGCTTATTACTCTCTCGGCGACTTCCAACTAGCAATAGAGTACCACGAGAAAGACCTTAGCATTGCCAAGGACGTCGGCGACAGGGCCGGAGAAGGACGTGCCTATGGCAATCTCGGCAATGATTATCACTCTCTCGGCGACTTCCAACGTGCAATAGAGTACCACGAGAAAGACCTTAGCATTGCCAAGGACGTCGGCAACAGGGCCGGAGAAGGACGTGCCTATTACAATCTAGGCATCTCTTTTCTTAGTCTAAATTCTTTGAATGAAGCTTTAGCTCATTTTAGATTGAGCGTAGAAACTCATAACACTATTAGAGCCAGTCTCATTTCCAAAGATGTTTGGAAAATAAGTTACCGTAAGGTTTGGAAAAATGCCTACACCTGTTTATGGCAAGTTCTTATAATGCTTCAAAAGACGAACGAGGCCCTTCACGCTGCTGAGCAAGGAAGAGCACAAGCCTTGCAAGACGCCTTGGAAATAAAATATGGCTTCCCATCATTTCAACACAGGTGCAATAAACCTGAAGAAGAGGTTACAAACATTTCAAGAAAAACATCTACTTTGACAGCGTTTCTTGCAATACAAAATGAAACAATTAATATATGGGTATTGGGAAAGGAAAGCAACGCTGTATTCAGGCAAGAAAAGTTAGCAATGGAAAATGTACATGAAGATTCATTTGCTGCTCTTTTGGAAGCTGCTTTGAAAAAAATTGATGCTGGGGTCGACGTAAGATGTGAGAATAGGTCATTGGACAAGGTAAGCGACAATCCACCTCCCAGTACTCGAGGCGATGATCGAATATTGGAGCCGTCACGCAGGAAAACTGACTGGTTACAGCCACTGTATGATGTTGTTATTGGTCCCATCGAAGACTTGCTTAACTGTGATGAACTTATTGTAGTCCCTGATGGTGCTTTGTCTTTAGCTCCATGGGCAGCCCTAAGTGAGTCTTTGAGGATTCGCACTGTTCCCTCACTTGCAATTTTGAAGCTGATCAGTGATTCTTCAGCTGATCACCACACTAAAAATGGAGTCCTGCTTGTTGGAGATCCAAGTCTGGAGAAAGTTACAGATAAATGGGGTAGGCCCATTTACAAGCAACTTAATTACGCAAAAAAGGAAGTGGAGATGATTGGAGGAATCCTAAACGGTCAACCACTTATAGGAGAAGCTGCAACAAAGCAGGAGGTGCTTCAAAGAATACAGTCAGTTGCTTTAGTTCACATTGCAGCCCACGGAAGAAAGGAAACTGGTGAAATTGCCTTGGCTCCAAACCCCGGTTGGAAATCAAAGAATCCTACCCCTATGGAGGAGGATTATATTTTGAAGATGTCTGATATACAAGCTACTGACTTGAGAGCGAAGCTGGTTGTGCTCAGTTGCTGCCATAGTGGTAAAGGAGAAGTTAACTCCGAAGGCGTTGTCGGAATGGCACGGGCTTTCTTGTTTGCAGGTGCTCGTTCTGTGCTGGTGTCACTGTGGGCCATCGATGACGAAGCCACAATGGAGTTTATGAAAAGTTTCTACCAACACCTGAGAGCCGGCGAAAGTGCTAGTCAAGCTCTTCAGAAGGCCATGAAATGTCTCCGGGACTCGGACAACTTTTCTGCCCCAAAGTACTGGGCTCCATTTGTGCTCATTGGCGACGACGTTACAATTCAGTTTGATGCAAATCATTAGAGGCGTAAGCAGAAATATATCTTTTTTTCTTACTATATATTTTTAAGGTCTTAAGAAGAGAATTCGAAAGTTGCAAAATAAAGGAAATTACTGAGAAATAAAGATGCATAGAATTAGAGAAGACTTCAACAATGTTGACGATCACAAAGGCCCGGGGGCGGGGGGGTGGGCACTCCCATATTTAGCATATACGGGTATGTGCCCCTGAATAGAGTATGGTTTTTAAGGTCTTGAGTCTTAAACAGGGCACAGAATAACAACAATAACAGGATATAGAATTTCACTGTTAAGAGTCTTGAACAGGGTATCTTTTTGGACTGGAAGTCTTTCAAAGAGTGAAGATTTGCGTGTGTTAATGCATCAAATATTTCTATATTTACAGGGTCGCACAAAGTGTTTGATGTCAAAAAAAAAACCATGCGTGTGTAACACAGAGAGGACTTCAGTGTGCTTCCCTTCGAGCAGAGGTTTCTGTCTGGTGTGAAATTTAGCGTTTACAAAGTCATTGGTGTCGCTTGGCAGTGATTTAGTTTTTTTTAAGCCCTGAAAGGGCCACGCGGAGTGGGACTTTGTGTACGAGGCTGACTAGTGAGTAATAATTTCCTTTGTTTTTGTTTTCATAATTTTGAAAGAGAGTTCAGATTTCAGTCATATCGAATTTTAAGGACATGCAACTGTAGAGAACTGCAGAGTTACAAGAGTAAATTTTGCCTGGTAAACATTAGCCCGCGTGGCAAGCGTTTCCATTTGGCCTGGTTTCGGAGCAAAGAAAGACTGAGAGCCAAAAACTTGCGCCATTATTCGCGCGGTCTTTGACTCTCGTTCCTCGTTCTTTGTTCCTACACCGCACAGAAACGCTTGCTACGCAGGCTAGGTAAATATTAAATTTTCCTATTGATTTTCCGTTTACTCCTCAACGGAAAATCACCAAACAAGTGGATCAGTAGTAAGCCCTTATTGTAGCCCCATCTTTTGTACATGTATATTTTATTAATAGCTCGTATCTTATCTTAGCGTATACTTTTAAGCAACACATTTATTTGCTATTTGAAAGAAAACTGATTCTAAATGTACTCCAAGAATAGCTAAGTGTTCTTTGAGACTGATGGAGATGTCATCAAACTCCATGTCAAAAAAGTACAAAGAGTTTCCAACGATCATATCACTTGTACCTTGTCGCCATAGGCCTTAAGATAATTGTGGTCAAGCCAGGATGAAATACCTTTTATGACTTTATTTAAAGTGCATTGAAGCACAATTGGGTAGTGTCGTCTGCGTAGAGGTGTAGTGAGGAGACGGTGACGGATTGGTTCATGTTATTCATAAAGAAGTTAAACAATAAGGGATTGAGAAGACTTCTCTGAAGGACCCCACAGCGTAGAATCATAACCAGTTAGAGCATGTGCAATTGTTTGCTGTCATGCAGATATGATCTTATAAATTGAAGGGCTGGCTTTTGTACGCCGCATGCTTTAAATTTGCAAGGAGTAAATTATGGCAAATCAGTCCGGCGAAAGCCTTTGATAGATCGACGGCAGCTAGGCCAAAGAAATTTCGTCCATAGTGCAAGAGTGTCCCTTGAGAAAGCAAGACATATTAGGTGAGAAAATGGGGGAAAGGATGTGTACAGTTGATCAAACATCACTTTTTCCAACAGTGTGAAGATTTTGGGGAGCAAACTGACAGGTCGGCAATTGTTTTTGCTCGTCGTTTCATCCTTTAGAGGAAAGGGATGACATTACTCATTGCACAGAGTATTTGCTTGACTATGTCTGTCCAACCTTTGTTATTTGGGCTGCTTTTGATTATCACTTTTCAACCAATGTGATTTTAAAAGGGGAAATGCATTATTTATAAATCCTTTGAAACTGAATACTCCGGTACAATCGCTGTTTTATGTGGAGGAGGCGCGAGTAAACCACTGCTGTTCCCTTTTTAAGCATAACTGAACAAGGCAGAATCAGGCATATTATTAAAAAAAAGAAATAATTTATTCCCTCCCTCATTGTTTCGAAACATGTAACTCCTCAGTGTAATGCTTTTGTAGTTTGCTGCGTTTGATCTTAGAGCGTATGATTTGTAGAAGTTCAGGTTTCACTTTCACGTACAGCCTCCCCTGAGTTCTCAAACTTTTACTCCATGGACATGTTAAATTAAATGATTTGAGGTTTATTTAATTTGTTTGTGTGAGGAGCATAAGGCTTGCTGCATTCTCCTCATTAATGTACAAGAGAAACCAGGAGAGTTGTGAACAGACTGTTGGTGTGTTTATTTTGCTATATATTCAGTTTTATATATTGTCTGCAGTATTTTATTCAAAAGTAACTGAGCTTGTTTAAGCGTGAGGTCATGACTGTTTGAGGCTTGGTTTGGAAGTGTGTTTCATATGATTGATTGCAAAATATTTCGTCCTTTCTCAATAACCATATTTATGACTTTGTTTCTATTTTTTAATTTTTTCCTGCTTGTCTAATCGACTTTACCGACGTAATAAGATGTAGATGTGAAGCCAATTCACTGGCAAACAAGTGACGAATTTACTCTGTATGGTTAAACAAATATAAGCCTTTCTGTACCGAGGATATACGGTAATCAGGTTTTATTTTATCCTTCAAGTTTGAAATAAGATTAACCAAAATGTATGATATCATCATAGTTCGAGCAAGGCTTAAAAAGCCCTAATAATAATGTTTCAATATCACAGCAATTGCAATAACCAAGTATAGTCGTGACCAGGCTTTTAGAGCGATTTTACTTGGCTCCGTGAAACAGTTGATAACAACTACTGCAAAATAACTACAAATACACACAAGAGGACAGTAGAATTAAGTGCATACTAGTAGTCTGGTGGCTTAGTGCAAAATCTTGGCGAGATCTATACAGAGCGGACAAAAGACCCAAACTTTGCATGGATCGGTGCCCACAGCTACCTCTTCGAGATTTGCAGCAACTGCTCGCTGAAGTTCTTCAACAACCTTCCGTGATGGATTCCCTGTGCTGAAAATTTCAATCCCTTTTTTTTGCCATTTTTTGATGAAAATCAGATAAAAAGGGAAGTAGATGGAGAAAGAAACTGTATTAATACTATTATTATTGAAACCAATGACTAAAACAAGTCAACTTAATGATATAGCTATCATGATGTACCATGGTGGGTGCCCTGTGCTAAAAAATATCAATTCCTTTTAATTTTTTTTGCCATTGTTTTGATGGAAATCACATGAAGGACATGAAAATAGAAAAGATATTGTATTATTATTGAAACTAATGAAAAAAACATGCCAACTAAATGGAAAATCCAAGGGAGATGTTTTCAGACGCGTACTCAGTCCCAAATAGCCTTTCAAGGTGGCGGCTGTTTCTTTTCATGGACTGTAAGTATCTTCTAGAATAAATTGCCGTTTTTTAGGGGAAATTGTGTACAATTTGAATCACGACAGGTTTAAGTGAGTTTTAAGTTCATCTTGGTGATAAATTTGTCATCGAAAGCCACATTTTTTCTTCACATTTTGTGCCGATTATGAATGACTACACTGAGTCTATTTTCCTATTGGTTAAAATAATAATAGCAAAAATAGCTTCTTTCTATAGCGCTCATATCCTGAGCACATGGTGCTTTACAATGTTAAAGAGGAAAAAAATTATATCTCGAGCATGAAATAACATATATTGAAATCTATTTTCAATTCACAAAGAACAAGAGAAGGAAACACGAATTCATCTGTTTTATATTTATTTTGGCTTTAAAGTTTATATATAATGATAATAAGTCATGCAAAAAACTAAATATACATTCTATAAGTATAGGTATATGATCTGCAGATATTAAAGACGTTTTACAAAAGTATTGACTTACTCTCTAAAAATGTCGTAAAAAGATATGTTCTCAGTCCTTTCTTTCAACTGGCTAAAGATTGTGACTTGCGCAAATCCATCTAATGGTAGTGAGTTTCACAGTTTGGGGGGCACACGGAAAAAGTCTTTTCCCCGTGAGTTTTCTGCTGAGATGCGGACCACAAGTTCCTGGAAGGCCTTCCATAACTGTCCGCTAGATAGCTAGGCGGAAGGTTATTAAGTGATTTGAAAACTGACAAAACAAGTTTAAAAACAACATGATAACTAACAGGAAGCCAGTGAAGGTCAAATAAATGATGTGTTCACAAAGTTTACGAGTCCGAGTAACGATCTTGGGGGCAGTGTTAAGAACATATATATTATTAAAAGTTCCTTCAAGTGCATTTTCCTACAACCATAGAGCAAGGAATTGCAAGTAATAGTCTGTTTTAGATGTAATAAAAGCATGCACTGCAATTTCGCTAGACTCCTGTGTGAGACACTTTCTTATCTTTGATAAATTCCTGAGATGGTGCAACGATAATCTGCAAAAGAATGCTGAGACGTGTGCGTCAAACAGCACGTTGTCATCAAATACTACTCCCAGGCTTTGTTGGTGGTGGTTCTTAGCCTTGCATTACCCATAATGACGTCGCTAAAGGGTGGACGAGTACGGTACATCGACAAGATAAGCACAATTTCAGTCTTATCATGATTGAGTTTAAACTCGTTTCTTCACACCAAGATGGAAATCAGTTGGGATCGTTGTCATATTTACCTAGGGTGAGAATCGAAAAGAGAGGATCTGAGAAACCCATTAATTTAACGGAACAATTATTTATGGAACGCTCCTTGACAATTTCCTAGAATTCAAGAAAGAGGACTGTGCCGTCTTGTTGCAATTAAGTTTCATATTGAAATCACTACAGTCGTAAACACGTTACTGAAGTGCAAAGTGGCATCAATCCTGTCACCTTAAGTCCAAGTTAGAAAAAGCAAACTAGAAAAGAGAAAAAAGCATGTTGAAGCAGATCGGAAACAGAAATTTGGAGATTGTGGCACCAAACGAGCTTGTAAGACTGACACTATAGTGGGACTGTAAAGTGTGTGCCTTTGTTTGAAACGAATACAGCTTAATATGAAGTTCGGCAAGTATAAAGAAATGTGTATCATTGTCCACTGCATTTGCTATGTACTCAGTGAGTTGAACAAATGCTCTTGATCTATTTAATTTCTCGTCTTCCTCGGCCTTCCAAGCTGCTCCACTTTTCTTCTTGCGTTCCTCTGACATGTATGCCTATTTCGCACGTCATCCTTTTTAATGCATTTTCAAGGAGCGTTCTATAAATAAATGCTTGTACCGTTAAACCGGTGGGCTTCTCAAATCTTCTTTTGTTGATTCTTGGCAAATATAACAACGATCCCAGTTAATATCCATCCTGGTGTGTAGAAAACATCTCAGCTTCAGAAACCTTTAACTTACCAGTAAGTTAATAAACTCAGTATAGTATGATTCATTATCGGCACAAAATATGAAGCGAAAATGTGGCTTTTGATAACAAATTTATCACCAAGAAGAGCTTAAAACGTCACTTAAACCTGTCGTGATTCAAATTGTGCACAATTTCCCCTAAAAAACGGCAATTTATTCTAGCAGATATTTACAGTCCATGAAAAGACACCTTCAAGCCGCTATCTTGAAAGCCTACTTGAGACTGAGTAGTCTGAAAACATCTTCCTTGGATTTTCCATTTAGTTGACTTGTTTTTGTCATTGGTTTCAATAATAATACAATTTCTTTTTTCTATTTTCTTGTCCTTCATGTGATTTTCATCAAAATAATGGCAAAAATCAAGGAATTGATATTTTTAGCACAGGATACCCACCATGGTATATCATAATTGCTACTTCATTAAGTTGACTTGTTTTAGTCATTGGTTTCAATAATAATACAATTTCTTTTTTCTATTTTCTTGTCCTTCATGTGATTTTCATCAAAATAATGGCAAAAATCAAGGAATTGATATTTTTAGCACAGGATACCCACCATGGTATATCATAATTGCTATTTCATTAAGTTGACTTGTTTTAGTCATTGGTTTCAATAATGATAGTATTAATACAGTTTCTTTTTCTATCTACTTCCCTTTTTACGTGATTTTAATCAAAAAATGGCAAAAAACAAGTGATTACAAATTTCAGTACAGGGAACCCATCATGAAAGGTTGTTGAAGAACTTCAGCGAGCAGTTGCTGCAAATCCTGAAGAGGTAGCAGTGGGCACCGATCCTAATATTGACTAACATGCCCTAAGCTACAACCATGCAAAGTTTGGTGCTTTTGTCCGCTCTGTATAGATCTGAGCCTTTACCATCTGTTTCACGGGCTCAGTTAAATCACTCTAACTACATCGCTGATTAATTTCAAGTGGCATTATCATTTGTGCTTTATGTTTACTACTCACAAATTAGTTATCAGTAACCTAGTTATCATGCTCTTGTACGTCTCGCGAGACTTGGCATGGCTACTGAAATAAACACCATAGGAACGAGGTTGATTTATCATTAATTAAGTGCGCATGCAAAGAGACCAGTTCCGAATTATTAAAATTCATAATTGCCACCGAGATTCATGAGTAAACATGCAATGAGATTCATTTCTTTTGTTTCAATTTCGCTAAGCCTCGGAGTTAAGTGTGAATTTTGATATTCGAAACTGGCCTATCCCATTACATCTTATAGGTTTAGGAGACACTAACCTGCCCCGCCTCTATGGCGAGCTTAGGTGAATGTGCGTGTTTTGGATTATCAATCATTGAATATTGCAAAAAATTGTTGCGTTGTATTGTTTTCTTCAATGTAATAAATAAACGAGAAGCGTTATGTTGTGAAGCAATTTTATCTTTGGTCTTCGTGTGGCGTTTAGTAAACTGATTCATATTTAAGATTTGCACACCTACTCCAAACAATATGGGTAAGCAAGATTCTATGTAGTTTGATCAAAGTAGTGGTGTCTCAGTATATTGGTCCGTTTTGAAAAAAAACAAACAAAGAAAGAATGTTCAAATTGAGGTGAAAATTTTAAAAGACTAGTAAATGATGATATTAGAAGTAGCAACCTTTTTCCATAATTATAAAATTATGTTGTAGCGTGGGTATGGCTTAAGACATTATAAGAAATTAAAGCTTTATAAGGAAGAATAGACGGTCAAAAGTCGCTTTTTGACCAAGACGTCTTCTAACTAATGAAACACACTGTCACAGAACCCGTACTAAGATCAAAAAAAGCTTTTGGATTCTTGGAGAAAATGCACTAAATCTCAATCAAACCACAGAAAAGTTCAAAATTCAATTTTGTCCGGGAGAGATTTTGACCCGTAGGGGAGACCAAGAGTAAACTTCCCGTATCAGGGGATTCCTGGATAATCCTTGAGAGTTGAAAGAGATTCTTAGAGGCAAAGTCAAAACAAACGCCACAAGGATCAAATCGAAAGTATTGAAGCCATTGCGCTTGAATTGTTACCCGGCATCTTTGTACAGTATTATAAGGAATAGCAATCAACTATGAAACAACTTCATGAATGACGAAAAATCTTTTAATCTTCATCATACTGAACACTTTGTATTCTTAAAGAGCAGAAAAAACTCGCTTTAACACATCATGCACCTGACTTCACTTTCTACATCCACACATTAATAGTCTAGAAACAAAATAGATACTTATACTTAAAAAAATCAATTTCTTAGCATAGGACAACAAATTTCCATATGGCGGAATAAGATGTACTTGATGGACTTATGGGCTGAAGCAAAACTCGTAAAGTGAATTCAGGAGGAGCACTCACAATTTTGTAAATCCGGTAAACTGTACAATCAACTCTCGCAACGCGGATACGTCGTTATTTTGGATAACAGGAAACTCTCTCCAGTTAAAGTCTCGATAAAGGAAAACGAGGCGCTCACAGAAAAAAATTCTAGTCGCGCGAGTATTTTCGCTACAAAGGCAAGTTATATATCAAATTAAAGCTAAAAGACTAAATTACCTTA